GGGGCCCCTGGCTGGCCATCTGCCCTTCTGTGGGGGGGGCAGCCGTCCTGAGTAACTCTGTCACTACCGTATGCTTTTGGGAAACATACAGCTCAGCTAGCGACAACAATTATTTTCCAGAATTTTTGCCCCCGCGCTAAGCAAATAATGAAAGCTGATGGCTGGGCTTGCCACCGTGTTTCTCCTTGGGCTGTCCTCCTGCCTAATGGCACACAGGCCCTGTGGTTAGTTTTAGTTTTGTGGACATTGAAGATGGTTCAAGTGGAAGTGGACCGTGGTGTACCTGCCCTGTGGCAGGAGGTGCAGGCTCACAGGAGCAGCTCCAGCCTCCCCTCTCCTCCTCTTCTCTTTGCATCAGCCCTTGGCAGGGAGCTGGGGGCCCTGGCATGAGGGAAAGCCTACAGCTGCTTGCTGCCATGGGTCTGGGAAGAGGAGGAGGGACAGGAACCAGGCCCCACGAGGAGCAGCCCCCTCCGGTGTTGCCTTGTACCGTGCCCACCTGCCCCAGTCCTGTGTGCCTGTTGCCAGACCACAGCTCTGGGAGCGCAGGGTCAGAAGAAAAATGGAAGTTGTGGTTTTTCTGATGTGCTTGGAGATGTGTAAGTAGGTGGTTAATGAATGGGCAATGCCCAACTCACTGGAAGGGAAGTGATAGCAGGAGCCCCTCCAAGCCCCTCTGCCCTGAGCTGTCTGTGCTGCAGATGGACCTGGCGAGTTTCTTACCTCTGCCTCCTCGCCTGCCGCATTTTTGCCTCTGGTACTGTCCTCAATGCCCTTCTGACTTCCTCTGTGCTCCGTCCTTGCCCCAGGTTACCCAGAGCCCTGGCTGACAGGGCGAGGAGCAAGGAGCAGGCGTGACCGACTGCACGACTGACGTGCCTGCAGCCCTGCTGCAGCTCACCCTGGGCAACCCCCATGTGGCACAGGGCAGCAAAGAGCTGCTGAACGCCATGGCCCTCGCCCCGCTAACCCCCCCACGGTTACAGCAAGCTACCTCCTTGTCCTCCACGTCATCATTTTCCACGCAGGTCATTCATCTCCTGCCTCCTGCCCAACAAACTGAAGACAAAAGCTGCCTCGTGCCTTGAGTATCAATGGGTCCCCAATGCACCATCCCTTTGCCTGAGGCAGAGCAGGGGATCAGGACCAACTGCCCCCTGCCCAGCTGGTGTCTCCCTCCCCAGGGAGAAGAGGCCTGGAGAAGCTGCAGGTAAATCACAGCAACTGCTGTCAGCTCCAAAGAGGGCAGAGGCCAGCTTTTATTCTGGCTTAACTCAGTAGTTCCTCTGTCAGAGGGCTGATTTTTGGGACAAGTATGTTGTGGAGCTTTAGGTTATTCTTTGCATAGGGAATATGGAAGTAGAAGGAGCAGATTCAGGAACAAGGCAGAGCTTTTTCAAATTAAAGATGAAATGATCACTTGCGGACAACTGTCTAGGAACAACAAAATGGGAGTGCATCCCTCAGCCCTGACTAGACACCAGTTGGTCCAAAACAGGTGACTGTGGTCATGTGTAGTCTTGGTCAAGAAGCTACTGATGAGTGACACAAGTTAATCCCATTTACATGTCAATGTATGCTCCGCTCGCATGGAGCATGTTCATCAGCATCCATGCTTATAAGCAGAGTGGGTCTCTGTGCGTACACAAAAATGTCAGCTGAACTTTGCCTGGCCAGCAGAGAGGAAGCACATACGCTGCAAGGAGTTAATCCTGAGTGCAATTAAAATGGGTTATAATTCAGTTAAATGCCTGGGCTATTGTCAGCCAGTTCTGTTCACCATCTGCAGAAAAAAAAATAGTTTTTCTTGCCAAATCCAAAGGGCATCACTGTTTCCAAAAGCTGGAGGAACTTGCAGTCATTTCGGAGGAGCATCAGCACTGCCCTGCTAGAGTGGTTACAGATTCCAGGAAATCCTGAGGGAGTGGGCATGGGGGAGGAATGTAACCCCCAGGAGCTCTGATTCTCTCCCGTGGATGCTGCACCCACAACAAGGACTTGAGCTTAGCCACAAGGTTGTGCAAGTCTCCTGGCAGCAAAACCAAAAAACATCTTGGAACTACTCTGACATCTGCCCCATCCCTCGAAGTGTTCAAGGTCAGGTTGGATGGGGCTTTGAGCAACCTGATCTAGTGAAAGATGCCCCTGCCCATGGCAGCGGGGTTGGACTAGCTGATCTTTGATGGTCTCTTCCAACCTGAGCCCTTCTGTGATTCTGTGATCTCTGAAGATGCAAGCTCTGACATTTTTCTATTTCTGTACACAGACTGCTAAAAATAGTAATTGTTGTTAATATTTCAGTTATTAAGATACATTCTTACTTTACTTCCACCTTCACGTTTCTTTACCTTTTTCCCCCACTTTATCTTAATATCATTTTCCCTACCAAAACTGTAATCAGTAAAACTAGGTATGGAAGAGGCAGAGGATGGCAGGCCACATGCGCAGACAATGCCATGTCACTTAAGCTCTTAGATACGGTTTCCGTGATGGATAAGGGGGTTTAGTAAGGCAGTTAATTTTGCCCTGAGCTGAGCAATAGCCTGATCCCCTGTGAAAAATGCAGAAAAATCCCTTTGGAGTCTGTACTATTTGGATGAGGATTCTATTATTTTTTCTTCAATTTTCTCTGATAACATCTCCCCATTATCCTAGCCTGGACTTCAGGATAAAAATGGTTAGGGAGGGCTCACAGAGAAACCTAAATATGGGATTTTCTGGCAAACTCCTGGAACACTGACACAGTCTGAAGTGGGCAATGAGGAGATGAGAAAGTGGAGTTAATCTGGTATCCAGACTTCTTAATGCTGTTTCCTGTTCCTCTCTCTTCCTGATTCTCTCCCCTGAGGTTGTGGGGCAGCAGCCCTGCAGCTGTGTCCAGATGCTGGGATTTAGGGTGTTCCCGTGACCAGCCAGTCACTTCCTCTGCAACAGA